TATCCCCAGATAGCAAGCAAGAGTTTGAGGTGATGGTACATAAGGGTGTACACGCCCATTAGAATGAGGCCGAGTATAACCATGGACAAAGGGTGCACGCTCGGTGTCAGGCATTATCCGAGGAATTATGCGGCACAGTAGCAAGTAACGCCGCATGTTCATAGCCATATGCGAATGCCATGAGTTAGCGGGGAGCGTGGGAGCGAAGGATGGACCTTGTCAAAAACTCTAACTAAATCTCATTTTAGGCTTTGTGAATATACTCCTAACGCGGATGTGTTGGCGGCGACGCAAAGCTTCTGCCTGGAGAAGGCACTCATGCTTATCCGAGGACACATTAAATGAAACCACAGACCTCGTACGATAAAAGACATTCCTGACAAGCACATTCAATGCCACAGAAGGCTTTGTACGATAAAGGACATCACCGATTCCCTTGATGAGGGCATTAAATGTCTATCGTACATATGAGAGGAGTATAAATACCCCCTCTCTAACTCATTTATGGTAACTCAACTACCCTCAACTACTATTCAGTTTCTATCCCTAAATCGTTCTCTCTCTAACTTGAGCATCGGAGAGTGTCTCAAGCTTCCCTGGGAACACTTTTTGAAGGTCATCGTAGGTGTTTCCCTTCAAACTATCAGTAAGTCTCAAAGCGTATCCCCATAAAACGCTTAGCACATCTCGAGCAAAAACAACTTGTTTCCCTATTTTTATGTTGCTTGTGACACGTATAGTTCAATGGGAATGGTTCCATTTCAATGTTTGCTTTCTCACGGTCTTCTCTTCAACAGTTCAATCTAAATGTCCTTTAATTAAGTAGCTTGGCAATGTTTATGTATTTTCTATGTTTAAGACCTTGAGCTATTTGGCGATTTCGAATCCTTCTCTCCTTTCTTCCCCACTTGTGAAATGGAGCAACATCTTTTGCATATTAAGATTTGAATTTCAATCATCACAACCTCAAAGTTGTCTTCTTTCACACCAACACTATGTGCAGCACCAGTGGATCTTTGACCCATATCTCACAGAACTCATTGCTATTGCAATTAGGTATACGATCTCTCTTGCAGCTTCTAGAAGTTTGTCTTGTATCATCCTCAAAGTCGATGCAAAAGTTGTTATCCGTCAGCTCAACTTTGGTGTGGCGCAAGATTCCATTAGAGGTCTCCTCATTCAAGATTGTCGCCTTTTTTCAGTCTTCTTCTCATTGTATAGATTTTAGTGCAGCTCCACGAACTGCCAACTAGTCTACTCATAGAGTTGCACATAAAGCATTGTTTCTATATTGGCTAAAGTTTTCTTTTGTTAGTGGGATGGGGAGGAATTATGGGTAGTGGTTCTTTCTAACTATTTTCTTAACATTACTCGAAAAGTGAGGGGGGGGAGTAACACATACTTACGAATTCCTTTATACAAATGTGTCAGACAATGACAATGATAAATCCTCAAAACAATATAAGGAGGTTGTTCTTAGGAACCCACATAAACCACTTTTTCCTGCTATCTGCGTGAAGCAAGGAAGGAGTTTTTTGACATTTTATTTTAGCCTGAAAATAGCTTTAATTCTAGGCCCAAATCAATCCGCAAAAGACAACATATATAGTTGCTACGTCCTAACAAATCATAAATTTATTATTAGCAAATTGATTCTTGATTAAACCCTAAAACTAAAGTGTTGCTTTATATTTTTTTTCGTTGTGTTTATCATATTGATTCACACACCCAATAAACAAAATGAATTAGACATAACTTACCCAAGATGACATCACACTAAAAGCCTATAATGATAAAAATTTTCATGCATATTCGATAGTAATATGCCCAATACAATCCATTAATTTGACATTTGTTTTCGATCTATTTTTTATATATACAAGGCGTCAAAAGTGAGACGACTAACGTATAATCTAAGAGAAACATATTAGTAAGTTGCATTAAGCATGCCAAAAAATTTCAGTAAATTTACTAGGGGAACAGATCCGGTAAGTAACCTTGTGGTGAGTAACTCCATGCATAACCCAATAAGAATCTGCCACATCAGCGCCTCCTTCTCTCTCCTGAAAATATCATTAATTTTCTTTCCCTTAATCTTTAACGGACGATTTCTCACTCGTTTTAACTTGGAACTTAATTTTTTTTTGCACAGTTAGATCATATTAATTGTGTTCTTCAAAATGATATCCACTTTGATATTTTTTGGAACAAAAAAAAAATTGCCAGTTATTACCAGTCTATACCATATGGTATTGTGGTATAGTCAATACCATATGTTATTGACTGGTATTAAATAACAGCATACCATATGGTATGAAATATACCAGTCAATACCATATGTTGTTATTTAATATCAGTCAATACCATATGGTATTAAATAACAGCATACCATATGGTATGAAAAATACTACCTCATACCAGGGCGGTATAGTATGGTATGGAGTTGGTAACGAGATGTTTGAATTTTTTTCCCACAGAAAATTTTGAAATCCAATAGATCATGATTAAACCGTTCCTTTTGTGCAAAAATTTCCGAAAATGACTAAACAACGAAGGAGATACCATATGGTATGGAGTTGGTAACGAGAGGGATGAAATTTTTTTTCTCAAAAAATATTGAAAATGGATATCATTTTGTAGAGCACAACGAACTTGTTCCATCTGTGCAAAAAAAATTGAAATCCGAGTTAGAATGAAGAAGATATGATCCAATTAAGAAAACTAGGGAAAATAAATTTCTTGAATTCTCCACCCTTAGATCTGCAGTCACTTAAAAGAAGGGTCCAGATTTGGTTACTCACCCAAAGGTCACTCACCCTATCTTGAGCCATTTACTAGCAAAAAGATCCAAGGAAAGCTTCCATATTGTAATTTTTCAATTTGCATTTTAATTCCAGGTATAATATACAATTCGGGTATAGATGACTGATTGTGAAGGTGACTTTGTGGATAGGTCAAACATTTGAATCAATATAATTTAATGTGTGTTATAAGTTAGCAGTTTAAAAAAATGTTATGACTAATTAATATTCAAATGTTTTCTTTTATGTAATATTTAGAACAATATATTTATCCAATGTAAAGTTTTCAAAGTTAGGAATAGATAGTAATGTGTTGGATGCGAAACCTATCAACGAAAAGTCAAAGTAGACTATGATATGTACTTTTGTAGGAATGGTACAACAATGTTAAATATAACAATAGGTGTATGTAACAATCTAACTCTACTCTTAATTCTTTTTAACTTCAAATTCATCCATTCATTCAAAAAAGAAGCTGTGTCCCCCTAAAACTTGAAATTTTGGACTAGATAGTGAATTTCACTTGTTGTTATTTCACATATTCGATGTCCATCTCTTGGAAAGAGCCATTGAATTGGACTTTGTGGTTTTCGATTACGATAGAGGTAGATTTTTCGTAATGCATGCCGAGAAGCTAATCCAAGTTAGTATTCAAATGTTTTCTTTTATGTAATATTTAGAACAATGTATTTATCCAATGTAAAGTTTTCAAAGTTAGGAATAGATAGTAATGTGTTGGATGCGAAACCTATCAACGAAAAGTCAAAGTAGACTCTGATAGGTACTTTTGTAGGAATGGTACAACAATGTTAAATATAACAATAGGTGTATGTAACAATCTAACTCTACTCTTAATTCTTTTTAACTTCAAATTCATTCATTCATTCATTCAAAAAAGAAGCGGTGTCCCCCTAAAACTTTAAATTTTGGACTAGATAGTGAATTTCACTTGTTATTTTACAGATTCGATGTCCATCTCTTGGAAAGAGCCATTGAATTGGACTTTGTGGTTTTCGATTACTATAGAGGTAGATTTTTCGTAATGCATGTTGAGAAGCTAATCCAAGTTAGTAATAGAATTTGAGAGCCTCCAGCTACTTATATCCTACAAAATAAGTAAATAGAGTTGAAATTCTACAACAAACTAACTAATTAAAATATCATGAATCTCATTAGTGAATATACAGTTTTAAAGATAAGAAAGAATGACAAAGAGCAAATCAAGGCTCTGATTATGTAAATTTCCATAAAAATGACTGTTTTCATATTTACATACATTGACCATGATTTTTTATTTCAGTGGAATGCAAGAGAAGAAGAAAGAGTATATTGATAGTAGACACGGTGAAGATAATGATGTTGTTGATAAGAAGGAAAAGACCGTTGATGGTGTAGATAGAAGTTTCTGTACCGGGAGAAAGAGCAAATCTCCCACAATGTTCATGCTTGGACATTATGTTTCATATTTACATATATTTCACCATTAAATTTGGACTTTCAATGAAAATGCAAGAGAAGAAAGAAAAAAAAACATGGAGAAGAATCTATTGTTATTGGTGGAAATGATGATTTTGTTGATGGCAGATCAATCACAAAGAAGGTCTCCAATGTGCAGTAATTTCGGATGAAGTGCAGTTTGATTAAGGACTTCATCAATGAGTTTTTTTTATTTGTTATTTCTGTAAGACTTCATTGCATGAGTTTTGCTTTGTCGAATTTCAGTAAAGACTTCATCGATGATTCCGTTAGGACGCCGGAAAACTTTATAGCGTATATTTCTTTTCAAAAAATTTAATAATTGAATAATTTATACTCTTTTATGATATTAAATAAATATACATATATCACTTTGTACTATTGCTATTATTATTATACGCATTAGTAATATGCATTCAACCAACGGGCCAGGGGTCGTTTGGAAGTTGCGATTGTTTTGTTGAGATTGTCATTATGCATGTATTGTGTACAATGCATCGTTTTTTTTTGTTTTTTTAGCAGAAACAATACATGGATTGTTTATGTGATGTGACAGAAACTATCACTCATTTTGAGTGATTATTATATCTCAACTTTTAGTTGTGATTGTTGAGATGGTTGAGTTGAGATTGTTTTGTCTCAGCTTTTAGCTGATGCGACATACACAATCACACATACCAACCATTGTATTCTACAATGCATCAAATTTGACAATACATGTATAAAATTATACATGCATTCTCAACAATACATTTATTTAACAATCGCAACTTCCAAACGACTCCTAAGGCTAGTATAGAAAGCAGAGCTTTAGGGACCATTCATCTGTATTTGGACTTTTTGAGTATTTTTCATCGGTACCACATTGATACTGACCTCAACACAAACATTAAAATCTCATATACATAGGCATCTCTCAAACAGCAAGGGGAAATCCTGAAATAGAATAGAAAACCGGAGGGAGAGAACACAACAGTCACTCTTGTCCAGTCATAGATGATCTCCCCGGGCACCGTCCCATCAACTGCTGATCTCGCGAGAGCACACTCGATCATACAACGAGGAAGGAAATACTCTTGATTTGGTGGAGAGCAAGAAGAATACAATTGAGATAAGAGGGGGGGAAAGAATTATATGCAAACACAGGAAGATAGAGAATGTACAACAACACTGCTGATCACAGAAGATGTTTATTTCCTGTCAGTTCCATGGAGGGGAAGATGGAGGCCTACTATACACAAAATCCTGTGAAGAAGTCGTGCCGTAGTTTAAATCGAGGTTGTGGAGCTGCTCCATCAGCTGTGACCGCCTTTCCTTGAAGAAATCAAGGCGCGTTGTCAGTTCCACTAAAGCAGAAGATGCTGCTGATGGATGTCTGGTGTAATCTGTCGCCTACATAGAGCAATGTGAATACAAGGATAAGAGTCCCCAACATAGAGATAGATTTTAAGCCTTGGTTTGTTTGGTAACTAAGAGATAGCTACCTCTACAGGTCTCGAAGTTGATGTAGGAGCAGAATCAACGACGCCACAAAGCTCATCCATGGATAAGTTGGTAGAAGCGTCCTCGGTACTTTTAGAGTCACTGAGGCTGGTTGTCGGTTCCATATATTGTTTTCTATTATTAGGCTGCCTGCTATTGCTGCCAGCAGCTCCTTTAATATTATTCCTCCAATCTGCTCCTAATAGAACCTCCTGCAACAAAAAGTTCATTTAGAAGGATACATTAAATGTAGGTAAGTTATGAACCGGAATCTAATTTCCTCGTAAGGAGATCCATTAAAAAGCAACTAGAAGACACTTTAATAATATAAGCAGAAATAAAATCATCCGAAAACGTGTCAGGAAAAGAGCTGAAACAAACACACCTTCGAATTTCTGAAAGGTAGGACATAATCACCTCATTGAATTTTAATAATCAGCTAACAATTGATCAGCCCCCTCCCTTTCTCTCTCCAAGAATTAATGTACTATTTGTACAAGGTCGGCATTGAGTACAATTTGGAGGGAAGCACATATGATGAATCAGTAGGATTCACCAGCGCACTATACTCAAATGCAATCTAACAAAATTTTGATTGATTTTCTCCTACATCTGCACCAGGAGACATAATAATAACTGCCAATAGCACACACTGTTTGCAGGAATGAGGAATCACAAACTTTTAGCAGACAAAAGACTAGTTGTTAATGATCTTGGGTGGAGAAGTGAAGAGTTCATAAGAAAAGAGAATGAAATAAGAATAAATCAAAAGAACTTCTCGAGAAATGAAGAAACCTAAAAAGATGATTGCTTAAATGATCCATGTGATGCATTCGCCACCTTAAAACACAAATGTACAATGAAGGATAAGCTAGAAGTACCTCAGTTCTCTGTTTTCTTTCATGATTTACAAAAGCAAGGGTTGTATCAAAATCTTGCTGAAGAAATCTCCTGCACAACCAGGTGGACTAATAATTAAAGCAACAACTTGAAAATCTCGTCAAACATAGGCAGATGAATTTATCCTTCACTTTCTTTGGGCACCACCATTCCTCAATACGAAGTATCTTAGAAGTTTCCTCAACATTCTGATCAAGCAGCGATATTTTAAACAAAGCATTGCAGCATAATTATACTGAATGAATTGCAAAAGTTACACTGCAATCATGCTCTCAACAAACTGGAACCTTACACTTTGTATGATAAGCAGCTGAGATAATTAAAAAAAAAGGCTGACCACAAGATTCATGTTCAAAACAGCCATTCACTCGTTAATTTCTAGAAGTCTTCCTCTGTTCTCAACTCCATGTTATGCACAGAGAAGATAGAATGACAGTAAGATTTTGGAAACTCACTGATGAGGATTATGGTTTTGGATATGCTGATAACGATCATCAGTTAAAGCACCATAATGATGCTGCCGCTGCTGATTGAGCTGGTGGTGGAGTTCAGCAACTTTCTGCCTCAACCTCGCTACATCTGCTTCAGCAAGAGCAATCTCCTCCAGCTCTGCCCTTGTCTACAAATCAGGAAACATACCACTTATTTCTAGAACACCCACATATTTAGGATGTAATTAAACTAGAGTAAATCCCAGAAGCCCAGTACAAACTTTAGAGTCCATGCCCCGTGAACTTGACAACTGCCCGGAAGTCATACTCAAACCAACTTCCAATGCAGCTCGAAGATCTCTTTCAGCTTGCAGCTGCTCTTGCAATCTTGAGACCTACAGGGCGATAATCGTTAAATAGACAGTGAAGAAAGGTAAATACGAGACCAGAGTAGATAAGAGATAAATACTTGACAGAAACCGAAGCAAATCGGATCTTTAAATTCTGGAGAAATTGCTTATATATACTAACAATAGAGACAGCAGACTTCAACAAAAAAGGGTATCATCTTTAAAAAAAAATGAAGAAAATAAAATAAACTAAAATAAAATAAGGTAAATGCTAATCCAGGAAAATAGATATCACAAGAAAAGAAGAGATCCTGATGGAACAATAAATCCCAGCACACGCATGTTCTGCCCATACATCCCTAACGTAAGCACAAAGCCCATATCCTCAAATTCTATGTTTCACAAAATAAAGCAACCAACAGTGGAACCCAAGATTCGGATAGAAATGAATACATCTTGTTCAAGTGCCAAGCGCCGCTCATGCAAAGCTTGTTTCCTTCTCTCCAAACTAGCTTGCAGAATTGCATTACCTCTAGCCTGTAGATATGAATAGGAAATCCAGTTAGGTAACAACAGCATCACCGTCCCAAGCTTCAGAACATAGGTAATACAAATAAGAGTCTACCAACCTCCTTTGCTATCCTATGCCTCAAATCATTTTTAGTAATCTCAAGCCTCTGAATAGCAAGCCTGTATACCACAATTCAACTCATGTAAGATTAGACAAAATTCAGGATCACCACCACAGCCACCACAGAAACCTTAACCCATCATGTGCATCAGCTATATGAATTTTTGCATGCAATTTTCCAGCCAACTTGAATTTTTTCCATTCAGTGACGTGTAGATTTTTCCAGGATTTAGACTAGGATTTTTCAACAATAAAGAAAGCAATAGGCTTTCTAAAATGCCTATGGGCAATGAATAAGATACAGAACTCTCATTTAGAGGGACAAGTTGGAAAAAAGAGAGTTTCCATCAATGAGATTAAATTGTGACGCCTATGTATAGTCACTCTTTTTATATAGAACTAAAAGCATTTGTAAACTAGGATTTTTTCCAGGAATTAAACTAGGATTTTTCATCAATAAAGAAATCAATGGGTTTACTAAAATGACTACAATGGGCAATAATTAAAGAAACAGAATACTCATTTTGATGGCCAAGTTGGAAAAAGGAAAATTTGCATCAATGAGGTGGTTTTTTCCATTGTGAGGCCCATGTATAGTCACTCGGTCACTCTTTCTCAGAAAGTTGTTTGCCAAGTGCATTTGTTTGGGCTATTGTTTCAAGTCAAGTTTAGGAGATAAAAATTAGATGAAACAAATATAGCCAAAAACAAGCCACTTTAGGTGCATATAAACATAGAGATCTTACTCTTCTTCAGAAGAATCAACTGACTCCGTAGATGGTGTCTTTCTGCCCTGTAAATAAAAACAAAGGATTCCAGAGAATGAGCATGAATGCAAATAAAAGAGATCGGAGTGGGAAGGACACTAAGATTAATTCTCATACTTCATCCTAAGCAATACATGCCAATAGAATAGTTTTCAAATTGTAAGGTAATGGCTCAAATTACATGACAGGCGCATATGCTAACAGGGGATGTACATTTTTCATACTCCCTTTCCATGTATTTACATGGCTACCGTGAACTAAAACCTGCATATTCAAAGTTGTTTCGAAAGTTGCTATCACTATCTTTCCATGCTTCAGTGTTTATTACCCAAAAAGAAGTTTAAATTCTTTTATTTGGAATACTTCACATGGAAACATAAAAAAAGCAAAAAAAACTTTAAATGCCTAAAGTTAATAATCTTCTTAGTGAAAAGTCAAGAAAGTTATTGATTTCCAAATCTGGACTAAAAATATTTCAACCCTTATATGCTCTTGTAGATATTAAAAAGAAATAATGTCAGACATACATTGCTTCTTCCCCAGAATGTTGATCGCTTTCCATTGGCATTGGAGGTTGTAGCTTTACCGGCTGGCTTCTCAGCTGATGACTCAATAGATGATATAGGCACCTGAGGCTCAGCATCTATTGTAGATAGGATCTCTCCCATTGACCGGTAAGATTCACCAGGAGGTAAATCACTCAACGAATCTGTTCCGTTGATTGAATTTTCATTTCCTTTCTTATGTTCGCTTAGCTTCAGAAGTTGTGCACCAGGATCTCTAACGTGTGGAGGTTCAGTCACAAAGTCTGAACTCTCGGCAGGGGTATGATTGCCAATGGGTGATCTGACACCTGATTCAGCACCAACAAAAGCCTGCATGTTATACAAAGTAACTCATCAGTATACAACCCATTACAAGAAAGATTAAAAACTGTTCACCAAAAGAAATAACGAAGACCAAAAAGTGAATGAAAGTGCCATAATTGTATTAACAATTCATCATTATAGGATGCTTCATCGTTATAATCTACAACAGTAGAGCACTAAATGCATTTTGCATCCTCTAGTCTCAGAAAAAAATTTCTAACACACATGGCTGCCCCAAATGCTGTTACAACAAACCCCCATGCCTCCAACGCCAATGAATAAAACATTAGAGCTACCAAGACTCCTAGGCACCTCCAATTATAGTATTATTCACTTGTACCAGGATGACATGTAGTAAAATTGAACAAGCACCTACCAAAGACTCCAAGGGCACTCCTATTTTAGTATTACTCGTTTTTATTAGGATGGCTGCTAGGTGAAATTCAAATAAGTTGCAAAAAGGCACCCGGCAGCTTTGTCAGTATTTAATCCCCGAGTAAATGGGAGTAAAAACTGTAGTGACTGAAACAGAATGAAAGTTAATTAAACCTCATCGGCATATTTTTCTGTCCTACTATCCAGCCCATGCCGAATTTGTCAGCATGCTCTTTCATTTTTCTCTATTTCTCACCCTTTAGTTAAGGCAACAACGAGTTCAGTTGAGTGCTGTTATATCTCAGGAAGATAATCTTACGAGCTGAGTAGCCCTGTAAGTGCTTGCAACGTGCTAATCAACAGAAACTTTTTTCTTTTAAATATCCCATTTAACAGCAACACATGCAAGATTTCAATTTCATAAAGAAACTAGAATATCAAATGTTAAGTGTTTGACGATGGAGTGAACCTTATAATCATAAAGATCGCTGCCAGCTGAACCACTTGATTCACTCAGTTTCCCACTAAGCACACGCTCAGCATCATCATCTGTTTCTTGGTCTACTTCATTTTCTGCATCATGGTAATTGTTATCTTTCATATCTGTATTTTCATCATCACTAGAATCTTCACTTCCACTTTTACCCATCCGAGAATCTGCCGAGATAGAGCATCTCTGTAGATTTTCATCCTGAAACAAAAGGAGCATTCTATCAACACCGAGTTGTCTAACATCATAAACAGTACCAAAAATTGCAAAATTGTCAAACACATATGCCATCACCATCGAGCGTTACATCTTATTATTTGATTTATCATATGCACAGACATCTTCACCTTCTAAAGGTTGTTTAAAAGGACACGGATGAAATAACAAAATTAACATAAAAGCTTATCTAAATGCTTAAGCAAAAGTGAAGACATTTTTGTTGTTTATAAAAGACAGTGAATATAAATGCAGGAGAACAGACAACATACGAGATGAATTGCAAAAACTATACAAAAGAAGGAAAAGGAACAAAATGAAATAAACAGGGGCCACCAACAGAACGGTCCCCTGAAACTAAAACACAGAAGAAAGTGATGCCCTGGAGCCAGCAAAACAAGAATCATAACACCTGCATCTTTCTAATTCAATCAAGCCATAACTCTTCTGCCCCTTGTCCACAATGAAAATTGCAGATTCTAACATACATTGCTAATAACTCTATGGCCTGGCTGCTAATCACAGAGGTCATAAATACCACAAGTGTAACCAGAAATTACTAAAGAAACATGTCCAGGACTTCACATATCAGTTTAACTTATTTCATGGAATATATCAAAGAATCTGTCAGAAGTGATTCAAGTGAATAAGGAATCCTTCAAGATGTTCCATTATAGTCATACCCATAAAGGAGACCCGAAAAGAGCTAATATACTAGTAAATAAGTCACTTGATTCTGATCCATCTTGATAGATACAATAACCATGATTAGAGAGGAGTACAATATAGTGTGTATCTATCCAAATAGCATTATCCCTTCTACCAATCAATTCAGTCCTCTTATCACGTGCCTTCAAGTTGGCCAGATCTCTTCTGACCCCTTGTCCACAATGAAAACTGCAGATTCTAACATACCTTGCTAATAATTATATGGCCCGGCTGCCAATCAGAGAGGTCATAACTATCACAAGTGTAAACAGAAATGACTAAATAAACATGTCCATAACATCACATATCACTTTGACTTATTTCATGGAATATATCAAAGAACCTTTCAGAAGTTATTCAAGTGAATAAGGAATTTTTCAAGACGTTCCATTATGGTCATACCATAAAGGAGACCCGACAAAGAGAGACACATATACTAGTAATAGGTCACTTGATTCTGATTCATCTTGATAGATATAATAACCATGGTTAGAAAGAAACATAGTATAGTGTGTATCTATCCAGATAGCATTAGCCTTCTACCAACCAATTATGTCCTCTATTCCTAAGCGTTCAAGTTGGCCAGATATCAATCAAAGCTGACCTGCTAAACGAAACTGGTGACAGAGGTAGCAATAACTGCCTAAGTGAAGTACCTCTGCCGGATTAGTCAGACATTGAGAAGGACAATCACATTTGAAATTAGACATTGAGATATCTTACATCAAAAATACTGTCATACTCTTCCAGAAGAGTTGTGATGATGGCCTGAGCGTTATTGGCTGCATTTGCAGCAGCAAGAAGCTGAGCAGAATTGTCACCATTAGCGTCAAAGTCATCCTCCAACTCACATTCGCCAGCTAATAATGGGCGCAAAAGCAAGGGTGCCATGCATGCAGCAACAGCAGAAGGAGTCATCCGATTCTCACGAGAATGAGAAGAGAGTGTATGCATCATCTTCAGAATCCTGTGAAGAACGCCAACATAAAGTAGTAAAATGAAATCAAAATTAGCCACCACAAAGATTGAGTTGGAAACTAAGCAGCTGTGAAGTGTGCATCTACTTTTCAATCCCAAAGCTAATAATATCAGTTTCAGATAAGTCGACCATTACTGCAAGCCCCAGTGTAAAGATAATAGGAGGTAAACATTGGTTTCATTTATACTAATCTTTCACCAGGTTCCAACAATGTATAAAACTGCCGAAGCCATTGTCAAATGGCTCATTTCCACATAATTGCCCCTATCCCTCAAAAAGTTAAGCTTTGTATGATGTCTGACAAGCAGCAAACTGAATTACTCAACTTTCACATGAGATGACAAAAAATCCAAGATGAAGAAGCTTTAGCTTTGTTTCAGGATTACCACAACTCCAGGTTTGAGAGTATTTAGTTGCAATATATGGCACTACCACAGTCACAGAGAACATGCGTGATGGAACCAATTATTAATTTCTTGACAGAAATTTGACATAGTCAAAAAGTATTCTAATACCTATTTGTAATACTATTGGCTCGATATATATTCAGGACAAAAAATGTAGAACATTTATATACTAATGATCAAGAGATAAATTCAAAAGTATTTGTCGAGACACAAAACAAATGAAATTAATTTGAGATTTTCCACATCTCAGCAGATAACAAGGAATTTATCATAGCCAATGAACTATGACAACCTGAAACTGGAGAAAGAGAACTTTCAGAGAGTTTTACCTTTGTAACAACCTCCGGTTTGGTTCAGGAAATGTTTCTGATATGACAGAATGCATAGCAGATATCCGATCTTCTTTCCCATCGATTTCTTATTCAATAGGGAGATAAAAATATCAATAAATTGTGATGCACATTGGATACTAGTACAATGATTACATACCAAAATAAATGTATTAGATAAAAGGATGGGTTTCAATCACAGATGACAAAAAACAATGGTTGGTTCTAACATAAAGTACCGACAAATGAGCATGCACAGACTTAAATGACCCCTGTCGATACAACATAGCATTTGGAGTAAGAGTTTGACTTCTTCGATAACACCAAAAACGTCCAACTGAGTTTGGATCTGATACCCAAACACATATTAGCTAGATATGATAAACAATCAACTCACTATAGGCATCCAGCAATGCAGTGCAGCAAGATGCAGGAACTGGGGAGGAAGGAAGCTCCCTCAAGACATGCTGCAGACAGAAAGAAAACCGAGGTGAGTACAGAACTCAATCCGTTTATCCAACAAGATTCAATTTACCAACTAGTACCTTTACACAATCACCAACAACATGAGCATCCTCATTTGCCTCAAATTCATTTTTACCTAAAAACGGATTGTGATACATTAAGAGTCCATGTCTAAAAAACAGTTCAATCGGAAACGCAGAATACCTACAGTTCCAGGAGAAACTCTAGTGAAGTCGATCTTCAGAAACCAAAGGTTCATGGAGAGACGTTTGAAATTTTTTGAAGTCACAAGTACCTTGTTCATAATCTTGAACTCTATGATCAACCTCCTCAACATCAGCTGACTGTCTCAGAATCCCCTCCACTTTAATTCCTATGAAATAAGATCAAAGGTAACACAAACATTGTTATACCTAAGAGACTGAAGAGCAGTAAGAACAATGAAGGACCAAGAAACTTACAAAGACAACGAAATAGATGCAAAAATCACAAATATAAATATACAAGGAAACGAGATTCTAATGCCAAGTAACTATAATTCAGTTGTACTACCACCAACCATTGCATCACAAAGGTCGGGGTTGCAGATTGTGAATCAAATATTTTCACATATTATGCCAGTAACTATAATTCAGTTTTCCTACCCCCCACCCACCCAACTATTATTCATATATACTGCTAAGGGCCCTATACTCTACAAAAAAAAAAAAATAACCACTCCCCTGCAAATTCTAAATCCACTTTCTTTTTGTATAAAGACATCACTCCAATTTTTCCAGAAACAGGTTATTATTTGTCCTACTTAGGAAGTTATTTAGAAGAAGTTAGCAGTATTTTCCATCAGAAAAGTAGCTAGCTTTACAGTTAAAGAAAGACAGTTATGAGGAGGCAGAGCACATGCAACTAAGACTCACCATACTTCTCAAGAAATTGAAGAGCTTTCTCAAGAAAAGATGGACTACCATCAATATCTTCAAGAGCAAGCAAAATAGGTCTTCCAACAACTAAAGATTTCACAGGGCGCTTATCTCTCCCTGAAAACCAAGGGCAGAAAAGTTGGCTAGTGCATATGAAACACCAGGACAAGAATATTCATAAATAACTGGATATAGATCATATATAACAGGAAAAGTGATTGATTTGGAGACTTGTTATGGAGTACGAACATTGATGGAAAGAGCCATCAACAGGATGAGTATTGTCACTTCGAAAAATCCCATTATGCCCCATAACAAGAGCGGCACTTGGTGCTTGTGCAAGGGCAAGTTCAAGAGCATTCTTCCAGTCATACAGATCCTCAGAAGTTTCGGCCTGCAAATGCCGCAAATAACCATTTTAATTTAACTGTTGAGGGAGATATTGCTCTTGTTCTCATACAAAGTTCACGGAAAGGCCAGCAGATAATAAGCAACACTATAACTTGTTTTAGAGGATAAATCTAGGCTAGGGTGGATTTGGAAGAAGGGACATGGAAGATAGCACTTACCTTAAGAGTAAAAGCTCGTCCATCCCGGCCATCGGGAAACAAAACAGTCAAAAACTTTTTATCTTCTCTTACAACCACACTGTAAAAAAATGAAATCATATACAAGCCAAACAATGAAGTCCCAGAACACAGAAGGTTATAAGGCATACCTCCCAGAATTATTTAAATCTATTCCTCCTAAAGTTAAGTTCACTTCACCACCTTTTTGTGGTAAGGCACTCTGCAGGAAAGAAGGAAAAAAATATGAGTAACAGCGGCAACGATTTGCTCATGCATAAATTACTTCAAATGTCAGTTAGCAGCAGACTGGGCACATAGACCAAACTACCAGCACCTCACTAAGAAAATTAAAATATAATATTTGAGAATAATAATACACCTAGAGCATAATCATAAAACAAGGAACTCACTAATGCGAATCTTTCAGTACCAGGTGCAATCAACATAAAGAACTGCGATAAGATAATCAAATGTCCATTATTGACCAAAACCACTAGTAGTGTTTTGATCCTCGATAAGTATGAAGACCAAGGGGCAAAGTACCATCCAAAGGATGAAGAAACTAGCAGGGAACCTTGAAGTGGCGAAGATTAAGCTAAACACTTACCAAAGTAAAGAATAGAACTACAAGTAGACAAAGTAAAGACATTTAACAAGGATAAACTAACCGGGTCATTCTTAAAGAAAACCAAGGATGTGCGTGTGAGGATAAACCACCGCTTTTTCCATGATTTCCAACCTAGTCCTGCAGGAATTCAATACTAGCTGTCAGCACCGGAGAAGACTTTCCTTTTCTCAAGTCAGAAGCGAATATATATACTATAGATACCCTTCTGTTTGGGAAATAAGGAGGGTGAATATTTTGAAGGGACGCAAGTGGTGATGTCGAACATTGATAGAGAATAAAGATGGTGAAAAATAGAATAAAATAATTAAGTAGATCTAAAGTGAATCCCCCATTCAAGGGGGGGTTTACACCCTATAGCAGATGCCTTGTTCACTATTACAGCAGGTAAGAGAAGAGAGACAGAAGTTGAGTTGTAAACTACAGCTCAGCTTCCTGCCTTATTAGAGTTTCTTTTTCTTCCTTATTATATGTTTCACTTCTTAAGGAGGGCCTACTATTATAATTTCTGGAGATGATATTTGCTCCAAAGTTCAAACGGGGAAGTATGAGTACCATTACCTCCCTTTCTTAGAAAATGATTATTTCCCAGAGCGCATCAACAGTGTACCCTGGTTTTAGGGTGCATACATAAATTTGCAAATTTTGACAAATGGAATTGTAATTCAACTTTACATTCGTCTTTTACAGAATAATAATGATATCCTTACAAAAGCTTATATAGATGTTTATAAATCGGTTGGTTTAAGGTACACAAATGACACTAGTTAAATCTACAAACATCGTGACATTACGTATGTTGTCAATATCCAGGGTGTACAGTAACCCTGTTATTATTTCCTATAGATAAAAGGCCCCGAACAAATTAATGAAATAAGCAGAATTTTGGATTTCAAGTCCGAGAATAATTATCTCTTTTCTAGGGTTTCTACTTTCTAGGGCCTCAAAATAAGTCACTCAACGAGTGGGAGTATCAAAGGAAATCTGGATAAAATTGCAACAAAATTCTGAACATAAGACTCATAACACGCCCCCTATTACTATTGAACTAGCCAAATAAGAGAAGGTGATGGAGGTCCCCCTCCGCGCTCTTTAAATACTATATATTGTAAATTAAGGAATAATCTCAGTTCCTCAAGCTCCAGAAGCCCCCTTCTCCCCTTCCACACCAAACAGAATGCTATCCCACCCGAAAAATCAGTGGAAACTGAATCAAACAAGTTCCTAGCACAAGAACCAGGATCCACAAGAATAAGGTTTAAGTAAGTACAACAGATATAAGGGAGTCTGTGGGACTTTACATGAACTCAACTGGACTAGAGAGAACATTTTGCTTTCAAACAAACGAGTGAATCGTCAAATTGATAAGGTTCAGGTTGATGATTCTACAACTGTACATATAATTTTGGGCAAATTTCTACTCAGTCATTACTGATTCCCATCCAGCTAATTGTTCCGTCTTGTGCTTTAGAGCAGTTGCACAATGTTCAGACACAAAAAATAGAAAAGTAATCTTCAACACAACTGCTGAACTAAAACTACTAGGGAAGTTTTACAGCACTGACTAGGGAAGAGATAAATCTAGAATCAACTGTTCACAAGGAAGAGCTGTAACCAACCTTTCGAGGAAATGAACAGTGGTCCGCTTTTAAAAACCTGTTAAAGAATTGTGTCGAATTAGAACACATAAATGTTGAACACAGGTGAACAAACATAAATGGAGAAGGCAGTTTGAGTTTAACCCCCAAAAAATGACACCAACACTGCATTTGATCACAACAATTGGCAAATAAAACTCAATTAACTGTTTCTTCTGTAAATTTGGAAAGTTGAATATTATTTAAGCCAACCGTGAACATTTGGAGTTGGAACTTTCAGTAAGGATTCCAGGTGGAAAAATAGTGTTCTCCTGTTGCACTACGGGAAACGTGAAGAGGGGAATTGCCATTTATTTATCGCACGGTCACGTTATGCTTTATGCACCTACATCTACTATATATGTCCCGACAATCTCAAGGATATTAGCAGCCACCCAGGTCCCCATTCACTTCAAATATAAACTAAACCAGACAGACACATGCGATCAGAAGGAACCTGTTACTATGTTGATTTTGTTTTTCAGACCGATTCATTCAGTAAACCATTAGAGCTTAACCACTCTGACACAAGAAGCAAGAGAATGCTGTCTCATTGATGCAATGAATGAAACAGGCTTCACTAGGTACAACTTAGGGAGTACGGATTAAACAGAGTATTTTAATTCAACCCAGAATCATCCAACAGAACCACTCTAAAAATAGAGCAATCCAGCAATTGAGCCAACAGGCTGACGTGGGGTGCCCAAAGCCACAAAATGAATGTCAGTTGTTCAACAATGTCCATTGGCATCTCTAATTTCTTAACATCATGCAATTGAGTTAGGAAACAAGTTAAAGGAAAATGCAGTCCACGTAGTGAGTTCCAAACTTAGCCAAGAACAGTAATAAAAAAAAAAAGGAATTGTTTTACTTCCAGTACTTAACCCCTAGAAATGAACACAGACACTAGGCATTGAACCTGGAATGCATCATCATGATCAAGATCCAAATAAATTCAAGCCAAATTCGAGTCTGTCTGATCAAGAGCAGGGGGGGAAGAAAATGCAGTACCGTGTTAGAAGTAGCAGGTCTAGAACGGTCAAGAAAAGCAGCTGAAGAAGCCGACATTGACACAGTTTCCGGGGGATCAACGACGCCGGCACGGGGCATTAGTGTGTTCAACTCCTCCGAACCGAGCAGCCCATTGCTGGCCGACTCGGCCGGGCAGATCGGGAAGGGGATCTACAGTTCACACGAACCAGACGATCGGAATCAAATATGGGCAATCGCCACAAGCAAGTGATGATAAGGATTTCTTTCCTTGTTTACTCCTTTGCCTTCCCTTTTCCCGCGGTTAGGGTTTCCGAAAGCGACCAAGGAATGACAATAACTCCCAAGCTCTAAGTTTCTTTCTACTCTAAACGAGCCCAGACAAATTTGCTGCGGCACTTTCTCGTGGTAGTTCTCTGGTGAGGTTGGGGCCTCCGAGAGAGAGAGAGAGGGCAAATTGCGATGGATGGATTAGGTGGGTGGATGGAGTAGTGGTTGTCTGTCTCTCAGTAGTATATTACTCTCCCCCGCTGTTCGTCAGTTTGCGGGAGAAGGAAAGTGAGAAAGTGGGGGCAATGAAGGGAGAGAGAGAGGGAGAGGGGACTTTGCTTTCCACCTACTTCTCTCTCACCTTGATAGCAGTAGCTCGCAGGCAGACAGGCAGTAATTAAAAACTGAAAAATTATGAAAGAAGAGGATGAAGAAGAAGAAGAACAGCAAGAGAGGAGGAGAGGGGCTTGTCAATTTGTCATGGATTGCAAACTAATGTAATAAGGTCTAATTGTCTGCGGTCACTCCCAGTCAAGTCCGAGTCTTGTTGGCAGCAACGACGGCCACGTGTATGGGGCAGGGCATCTTTTTGTGTATTTGGCTGGTTGTCAGCGATACTTTTTGGCGGGATTTTATTTTCATCTACCTCGCATTAACCTCAAAACAAGATGGCATTGGACCTCTTGCATTCCAATTGCAACTTGAAATGTGGGTGAAACCAGTGCAGTTATATTCGCAATTTAAAGTGTAGAATCGTACGGTCTACGTTTCTAGGATAGAAAAACGTTTTAAATTACTAATTAAATCGTTCTACACTCATTCTCTCCGTCTCCACTCGATTCCCCTGCAATCCCTAATTCTCTCCGTCTCCACTCTCCAAAATCCACCCTTTTCGGCGAACAACCCGTCGTCGTCGCTGCACGGCAGGCCTTCCAGCGAAGTATCAGTCGTCGTCGCCTTCCACCGAAGCTCCAGCACTTGTCGCACTCGCCAGCCCTATCACTCATCGCACTCATTTCGTCTCCCGTTGCCACTCGTCGACGCCACACCAGGTAATCTCTTCCTTGTCCTAGGCTCCTAGCAACTGTTATTTCTGGGTGCTGTGTATATTATATTTCGTGGATTTAATTTCAATTCAGGAAAGTGGAAACAAACAGTTCAATTTCCTACTTTGTTTGCTGGAAACAAACAGTCCAATTTGAGGATGTTTCCTACTTAGGGTTTCAGTTTCCATTGCAACTTCATTGGGGTTTAAGGGAGTTTTGTGCTTGTTCGGATTCACCAAAATATGTTTGTTCGTATGTAGTGATTTTGTGATATACAGCCTGTTGAGATAGTTTGAGCAAGTTGAGATTTCGTGATTTACAACCCTTATTCTTTATTTATGCAAGATTTGCAATTTCAAGTATGTCGAGTGGAGGTACTAGTGCAAGCAATACTGTATCCAATTCTAGAGCGAAGAGAAAAAATGTACAAGGCAATCGTCTAGACCCCGGTTGGCAGCATGGTAAAGATGTACTCGATACCGGGCAGAAAGTGAGATGCAAGTATTGTGAAAAGGAAGTATTTGGTATATCTCACTTCAAACATCATCTTGCAGGAACAAGAAAGGACTATGTCGCTTGTGTTAGTGTTCCCAATGAAGTTAGAGCAAAAAAACTAAAGCTACTTAGTGCAACTGAAGAAGGGAATACGACTAAGACAAGGAAGTTACATTATCTCAGTTTTACTCGTGATGGAGAGGGTAATGTAGCTAGTGGCACTGGCACTGCTGGCAAACGGAAAACAATTGCTACAGTTTTGAAGAAAGAACTCCCGGAAAAGGCTTGCAAGACCATATCAAAATGGTGGTATGAATATTCTATTCAATTCAACTAGATGCGATACCTATCACCAAATGTGGGAAGATGTAGCTCGGCATGGTCATGGTTTTAAGGGTCCTTCATATGATGAGGTTAGGGAGACTCTACTGAAAGAGGAAATGCAGGAAGTGGAGAATAAATTGGGGATCTTCAAAGCTTGATGGAAGGTCATGGGTTGCACGATAATGTATGATGGATGAACGGATAAGAAACGGTGAGTTCTTTGTAACTTTTTGGTTAATAGTCCTCGTGAAACTGTATTTCTTGAAGCTGTTGACACTTCTGATTTTTTGAAGACCACTGAAAAGGTGTTTGAGATGTTAGATGGAGTTGTTGAGAAGGTTGGGGAAGAGAATGTTGTCCAAGTTGTGACACATAATGCTTCAGCTTACAAGACAAGTGGACAAATGTTGATGGAAAAAGGAAACATTTATTTTGGACACATTGTGTTGCTCATTGCTTGGATTTGATGCTAGAGGATATTGCGAAGCATATTAAGGTGAACGCGAACACAATTTCCAATGGGAATAAGATCACCAATTTTATTTATGCAAGAACAATGTTGATTGTCATGATGAGGGAGTTCACTCAAGGGAAAGATTTGATTAGACCTGCTGTTACAAGATTTGCTACATCATATTTGACATTGGAAGCTCTTAATGACAATAAAGGTTCCTTGATGACAATGTTTTCTTCTGAGAAGTGGAGGAAGAGTAGCTATTCTAAACTTCGTGAAGGAAAATGTCACACCCTCTCCCTCTCAAGTTACTTGACACGTATGTTTGTAACTTGACGATGTAAATATTGATTAGGGGTGGAATTAACTCGGAATTTCAATGAAGAAATTTATGACTAGATGGTAGAGAATTCTAAAATTAAGTGATTGTACTACTAGATGAAAAATTAAAAATTAAATGAATGATGATCATCGATTAAACTATGTTGCTCATGTTTATATCCCCATATGCATTCGTAGATTGGAAATGAAGTTAACTAAATTGTGATATCATTTTGAGAAGAGTGGGTTTCTTAGTAGCCTCCACTTAACCGAAAAAGAGGGCTAACATTTTCCTTTGTATGTGTGTCCTATTCTCCCATTTATTGCTAAGATGGATTGAAATAAGGAAGGAAGCAATTTCCCCTGGCTCCACCATACTCCTTCTGAAAGTCCCATTGCCAAACTTCCTCTAAACCCCCACGTGGGTAGCTTGATGTAGTGGTGAATTAATTAGTTGGGGGAAAGGGAACAAGTGTATGGAATAGGATTGAGAATGAAGTTGGATATTCCTTCCTAAAAACAAAATCCAATAAGTTAGCAGCCTTGTTTCTCCTTCTAAGATCATGATCCGTCATAACAAGTGTTAAACTTCCATACTTGAAATATGAGACTTGCATGGTAGGATTAGCAAGGGGACACCAATTCACAAGAAAGAGAGCACGGAGAGTCGCCAAGGGAAAATAAGAATTTGAGGTGAGTAAATCTTATCCTAGTGCTCATATTAATACAAATATGGTATCCGGGTCATGAAGTGACTCGAGTACAGGGTAAGTTAGTACTAATTGATCCGTGTGATATCATATTGTTGTGATATGAGAATGGACGATGACATGGATGAGTGCGTAATTATTTGAAGGATCATGTTAATATGTGACATGGTATTGTACAATGATTTTTGGTATGATATATGAGCTATGATTATGTGATATAAAACTGGATATCGGAAGTGTATGATAGGAAAGATAATTTGCCTAGTACGAAATTGTATGATTGGAATCTGGAAATGAACTACAAGGCTTATGAATGAGAAAGTGCAGGAGATGGTTAAAAGTATATTATCTTTATATAAAAGCGAAATGGATTGGCCTAAATGGCATACATGAAAATGTTATTGCATGGTCACCTAAATCGAACATAATGATTGGCTTGTTGTACACTCAACACAAGATATGGGAAAAGGGAGAACATGGTATGATGACACCGGACGGTGATTCATTCCGTAGTATGTGATATGACGAGACTGGGCTGGGTACGTCCCGTAGTGGTATAATGGCACCGGGTTGAGATACATTCCGCGATGATATGTTTTATTGGAACCAATGGTAATCCATATTCCTATATCTTGGAAGAGTATATGGTTTGGCAAGCTAATGAAATAAAAGCCACTAAATCAACCTAACTGTGCATGTGATTAAATCCTTATATAAAGATTACCTATGGCGAGGTTATGTGATGACTTCCTTTTATGTGATATATGAACTAGACATGTGGATGATATAGTTATGTGATAGTTTTTCATGATATTTGTTATATTGATATGATATGGGAGTGCATGATGAAATGAATTGATGTTTGTGTTATTGAATGAAATCTCATGTATCATTGTGTTTAGGTGATGTGGTATATGACATGTGTTATGAGACCATGGCTGAATGTGACTATGTATCGTCGGTTGTTAACATATGGTAAGTGATATGAATGGGTTATGGATGATAGGAGAAGTACTTCGGGGCACAGCATCACTCGTTGCTATTTTGGTATTGATGTTTGTATTAGGTTATTATTTACTCATTGAGTGACGTCTCACTCCGTCAATATTTTTCCCAGATCAATAGCTAAAATGGGTGAAGGCCATGGGACGAAGCAAGTTTGAGTTTGATATCGACGAGGTGGGCGGAAGGCTGAACTCTCCACAATGTTTTTATGGGACATATGAAAATGGGTTTTTCCCAAAATTTTATTATGGATCAAGAGTTTAACGATTTTGGTAAATAGCTGATGATGTGCATATATTTTAAATGGTTTAAAAGGAGAAAAGTAGTTGGGTGTTACATTTGTGATATCATAGTTGGGATATGATCCCACGGGATATCACCGGCTTTGATAAAGTAGTATTGCATAGTTTTAAAGAGATTTCCATGGTTTTAAATCCAATTTTGCATTATGAGACAAATATGGACCCGGATCCAAATCGGTTGTTTATTCAGTCTATGTGGAGTTCAGTCAAGGAGAAGCAAAAGAAATCTCCCTGTCACCTCTACGCGAAGGATCACAAAGATCTCCGACAACATCAAGCTACGTCCCAGGCATAAGTATATAGGGTGATAGTATTAAGTATATGAAGAGTGAATATAGAATTATACTCGTATGCTTATATGTTTATATGGTATAAGGATCGAGAAAAGAAGAATAACATAATGTTTATATGGATATATGAAATTATAATGGGAGGGTGATGTTAAGACGACGTGCTGATGTAGTTGGATGCTTGATTGACTATATAGTGGTCTATGAATCAATACGGTGAAAATATTGATTAGGAGTGGAATTAACTCGGAATGTCAACGAAGAAATTTATGACTAGATGATAGATAATTCTAAAATTAAGTGATCATACTACTATA